GCCTGAGCCGCGGCGTCGCCTGGAGATCGTTTTCGTGTCCTCGGACCAGGACCAGCGGCAGTGGCAGGACTTCGTGCGGGACATGCCGTGGCTGGCGCTGCCCTACAAGGAGAAGCACAGGAAGGTGAGCGGCGCGGGCCTCGTCGGCGCCCCCGGCCTGGGTGCGCAGCCCGCGCGCTCGGGGGAGCGGGGTCCTCGCCGCCCCGCGCCCGCCCACCCTGCTGCCCCTCTCCTCCATCTTTGCACGCGCTTCTCTGCTGCCCCTCAGTGTCCCCTGCCTCTGCCCGCCCTCCATCCCAGGACCCCGCCGTTGGGGCTCCCGCGGCAAGTCCTCGGTGCCCGTGCCAGGCCGCGCCCGCGGGCGAAGTTGGGCACCCTTCGGTGCCCTGGACCCCGGCTCGCGTCCCGAGGAGTCGAGAGCTCCAGCCCACATGGTGGGAGCCTCGCGTAGGTGGTGGCTGCGCTCGGGGGTCCCGACTCTGTGACCCCCACCGCGGCCAGAGGCGCGGGGAGGGGCCGCTTCCTCCCTCGGCCTCCAGACTCCCTGCGGATACCTGAGGTGGGTGGGGGCGGGCGCCAGCCCCCTACCCATAATGCCCGAACCAGGAAGTTTCCTTTCTTTCCGAGAGAAATCTGTTTTCCTGGGGCCCCCTTCCCCTGTGACCGGGCACCAGGAGGCCGAGGCCGAGGTCAGGCCGCCCGGCGCCCTGGGGAGGCGGCCGCTGACCGTGGCTGTGGGCGAGAAGGGAGCTCTAGCCTCTCCCGTTGGCCCTCCCTCCGCCCCCCGGGCTGAGCTAGTGGCCACCGGGGAGCTTTTCATTGTCTGGCTGTCCAGCCATCCTCCCCAGATGCCTCCCAGGCACAGGAACAGCCTCGTCCTTGTAGATCTTGGTTGCTTGGTTGGTGGGCCACTGTCGTCTTGGTACACTTCGAATTAAATGCTGAACTGGTCCCCCAGGTGAAGATCGACCGGAAGAACGAGGATTTGGGGAAATTTATACTTCACTGTCAACTTTCCATTCCTCCTAGTTTGCCGCTGAGATTAGTTTGGATTTTTGAGTGTTTCTTTTGGGTGAAAATGTCTGGTTTAGTAAAACCAACTCAGGAAATTTTGTCATGAGTCAAAAAAAAAGTTTTGGAGTGCTCTTGCTTAATTAGTGTGCCAGTGCAACGTGTGAATACAGTCCCTTCCCCTTCTGGGGAGAATCCCAGTTTATGGAATGGACAGGAGAAGGGCTATTCTGGGCATTTAGGTTCCTCAAGGGAGGATGGTAAGGGCATGCCATGTGTTTCATTTATGTGTACAAAATCTTGTTGAGAAGCATGATTTAGATTTAGTGAGAGCACACGGCTTATACTGTGACCCCAAATGTCACGAGTAAATCATCCATCACGAAGCAGTGTAAGGTACAGACTTAGGATTTAAAGTATGAAATACAGTTTAACAAATACAGTTTATAAAGTTAACATTGGAAAAACAGCGGCTCACTAACCACACACTTGCCATTAAACCACTTTTTAGGTGATTTTGCCCGTGTTTGATTTATATGCTTGATAGTTCGTGAATATGAGTGGCCAGTCCTTTTTTGCTTTAAAATATGGGAGCCCTTTGTTTTCCTTGGTGGTTGTTTTTATGATCCTTTGGTGGAAGAATAATGTTCAGAAAGTGATTTACTGAAAAATGTTTTCATTGTTATGGCAAGTTTCTATTGTAGATCAAAGTCTGTAAAATAACGTCCTTATTGGGCAAAACAGATGATTTCTAGCTTTGAAAACATACAATGATGGTAAAATATTACAGACTTAAGGCCTATTCTTGTGTTTTTCACAGTGGGGGATACAAATCTGCTGGATACGGATGAAAAATACGGAGCAAATTGAGATGTTTTGCAAACACTTAGAGCTTTTTCTCAAAAAAGGAGAGAATTTGATATGACGTAGGCTGCGCCTGGTTATCTATGCCCTGGTCAGTCCCTTTGCACAAAAAAAGGTGTTTTGTGACCCTAGCGTGGACCTGCTAATTGCACCAGGATGAGAGTCTGGATGACATGGGCAGACCTTCATTTGAAAATACAGTTCAGGATGCTGCACATGCCCAAATCATGGTGTGTTTGCATCTTAAAAATTTATTTTTTGTTTAGAGTTTTTCTGACTCACATTCTATAGTTCACTTTGTTCTCAAAGCAAGTGCAGTTTTCCAGAAGGTGGTTTCTGCTTCTGGATGTTCATGAATAGGTAGCTCACGATCTGACGCCATTCTTATTCCTGGTGATATACCAGGTAAAAAGACTCCAGCTGTGTTTCTTATGGAAAACATACTCTTGGAAATTACAAAAGCTGTGTACTCACTTTGAAAGGAACTATTTTTCCCCTGGAAACCAAAGAGATGTAGAACAAATTCCTTTTCTGTAACTTTGAATTTTTGTCTCTCTTGTTTGAAGTTGGGGTGCTTAGAAGTCTGTGAGATTGTGATGCTCATTCCATGATAGGAACAGTGAAAAGCCCCGGGCACCCCTAGTTGGGTGCTGGATGGGTGGACACTTAACCGTCTTGTTGATGGACCCTGTTCATGTTGTTTCACCAACTGTAAAAATAGCTTTAAAGAAGAGAATTTTGTTTTACATTGAAGGGAAACCAAAGTTCCAGATTACTAATTTTTTTAAGTTCTCATTAACATTTGTTCTTTAAAACCGTTTTGTGTACTTCGTCCCATTGGGATAACAAAGGATATGGTTCTAATTAGTTATTGGCTGGCATTTCTCTAAAGAAAATTGAAAAATTATGGTGGGGAAAGAAAATGCCATGTGGTATTTCTTTTTTTTTTCTTCTTTTATTAATTTCCCCTTTATATAGTAAGAAAGTCTGGGGATGACCATATATATGTTAAGCCTGTGCTTTGCCTGGCTCCTCTCACCTTGATAGGAGCTGTGTGAAAACACCAAATAACAGAATTCCAGCATCTTTTAAAAAAAATTCTTTGTGGAAGGTTGTCCTGTTTCTACTTGCTTTAGCGGTTAGGTGCAAAAGTAATTGGACCTTCATTTTTTGGCTTCCAAGCACACACATATAAAAAACTATATAGAAATTGTAATTGGATGATAATAGAACTTTGAGTGCGTTTGTAAGAGCAGTTTTGTCAGGAAACATATAATCCTGAAGTTAAGGCAGTTAGACTTGTTTTAATAAGTAGGTTGTTTTTTTGTTTTGTTGGTAGACTTTTTTCAGATTTCTGGCGAGAGCGAATGTGATGAATAGTTGGAAAGTGGTGAAGAATTAGACTTTTGGAATTTGATCTATCCCTTTAGATTAGTGTAAGTTACTTAGTTGTCAAAACTGGAGAGTTATCTCTAGGATCCGCTTCAGCACCCTAGAGGAGAGCACTGGGTTTGGCTTTAAAGCCACAGGACTCAGCTATGCCTGGGCTGGATGCCTGATGGAGAACATTTGGTCAGTGCGGCTGCTCTGACATCAAAGGGTGCAGGACCACTGGTCTTGTGCTGGACAGGTTTACTGGAGTCTGGCTTGGTCCCAGAACTTCCTGCCTGACAGAAAGGGGAAGAGAAAGTCGGAGTGGGAGGGAGGCAGTGTCAGGGGGCTCAGGGCCAGCATCCCTTGGTCTACCTGCTCCAGCCAGGGGAAGTGAAATCTGCCTGCTACCCCACGGGGATTGCTTGCTCTGGGTGGCTCTTTTGGTTCAGACTAAATCAGAGGCTTGGCCTAGAATTCACTTGAATCCCTTTTGCTCTTTGGATGGGGCAAGATCTGGTACCAACCCAAAGAGTCTTACAGCTCCATCTCTCCCGGCTCTTCCTTCCTCAAATCCAAATGCCCTAGCCACTAAGAGAATGACTTCCATGACCCTGACAGACCACTTTGGAGGTGGTAAAAGATGGCAAAAAGGCACGGCTTTGAAAACTGGGGTTTTCTGCCTTCTACGTAAGGAGACTGGACCAGCCAGGACAGGCTCCCCTTGTTGCTTGTGTTTCCAGGACTTGGATCCATCTAATAAAAGACAACTGTCCAATTAAAGTAATAAGAGCAATTTTCTTTGAGAGGCTTTTTCCTCGTCCCATTATGTGTAATGTATATTTTAATCTCATTTTTCTTCTCTGCATAATGAAGTTGCCTAGTGTAGTGGCTGAAAATCAGACTCTGGTCCATCTGCCTGAGTTCAGATCCTCGCTCTGCCGTTTATTAGCTGTGTGACCTTGTGCAAGTTACCTTACATCTCTGTGCCACAGCTTCCTCAGCTATAAAATGCAGATGATAATAGCACCTGCCTTACAGGATTGTTGTAAAGACAACACAAGATAACATACACATGCCTGGCGTGTAGTCTGTGCACCATAAGTGCTAGCTATCATTATTTGTTAATGAATTATCATGAAATCTAGTAATTCATTTCATAGCGTGAGTCTTTGGAATATATCACATTACAGAATTGCAAAACTGTTATGAGGTGTATTTTTTAACTTTTCAAACAAATGACTTTTACAAGCATGTAAGGGGATATGGTGAAGGAGTTGAAAGAATTGCACTAGAAGAGATTATAATTGAGGAGAAAGAACTAGAAGAATGAAACAAAAGCAAATGAATGTAAAGAAATACTGTTCCTTGAAGTACTGATAATTACTGAGCTCCATCCTTGTATTTGCCAGTGAAACCTGAGACAGCAGATCGATGAAGCCTGGGCATGAGAAAGGGTAACAACTTGAAGATGGTGAGGCACCCTGCTTGAGAGAGATTAATTATGTACTTGGTGATGGTTTTGTGGTTTGCCAGAGCCATTAGGTGTGTCTTCTGCTGATCCTGGGTGCTTAAATCTGGGCAGCGTGGGGGGTGCAGGATTGCCGCTCTTCCCTGTGGGAAATGGGCGGCGCCCCATCTCCAGAGCAGTAGAAACCTCACCCCTGAAGGGAACCGCCTCCCGTCCCAGCTCTGGAATGCTGTAGGATAGGTTTGCTCAGACTTGCGGGCTTCGTACTCACCTAGCGGCACAGGCCTGACTGACAAGCTGTCCACAGCTCTTGCTAATTGATTTGTCTTCTGGTGTGGGTGGGGATGGGAACCAGAGCTTGGGGGAAAGCAGTGGGTTTTGAGGTTGGGATCATTGATTTCATTCTA